GGAGCCTGGCTAAGCCGCCTCTCCGCTTCCAGCCGCCGTGGGCTGTGGCCGATGAGGTGTGAAGCCTCCTCTGCGGGACCAAAATGCGGGGTTCTCTGTGGAGTCCGTGGGGGGCTGCAGAAGAGAAACGCGTGGCCCTGATCCCGCAAGCGTGGGTGAACGGGCTGGATGAAGAGTGGGCTTCTCCACTGAGCTTGTGTATTACTGCTGAAGCCGAGCAATTTTAAGCAGGGGAACATGAGGATTTAAAGGATGAGAGAACTTAAGGATGTGTTTTGTATTTGCAGGGCTAGAGGTCTAGGTTGTAAGCCTCCTTGGACATTGTCTACCAATCTTTATACCTGCCAAGATTTAAAAAGAGTAAAAGGTGTGCATGTAACCATAAACAAATCTTAGTTTCTCCAAGTCATCCGTTCATGGATGACTGTCTCCAGCCTTGTTTTAGTGTCTAGCTTAGGCTCTAGCCTTGTTGAGCACAGTTGTTCAGCATCATGTGGGTTCCCACTCAAGTCCGTATGACAGCTGACAACCCAATGTCATGAAATGTTGATCACATCCCGCTCAAGATTGTGAGCCCACAAGTGGCATGATGCTCTTTGTTTATTGCTCTAGTGTGTATACATAAATTCTGCCCACAAATTGCTGTGCTTACTATATAGCGGTCATAACAGTGACTTAAAACACTTTGTGGCAGATGATGTCTGAAAACCTCATGAAATAACGTATATTCATATGAATTTAAACAGAAACATCTCCTGTGTACCTGCAAGCTTGATTCAGCTGGGACTTTGTTGTTTCATTTAAGTAACCACTATAGGATGGATATGTTGTATGTTCTCAGCCACAGCCAATTATTTATAAAACTGAGGTATATGCAGGGGTGTATAAGCAGAAGTTTCTTGCTCTCAAGGTTTTCAAATGTAATGTTGGTGTGGCAAGATTGCTGTGACAGCTGGCAAGAAAAGCTGTGTGGTCTCTGTGATTGAACACTTACACATGTGTGCACAAACACAAAGTAAGTTAAGGGCAATTGGTTTAATCAGTTATGAGAAGAAGGTCAGGCTTTTCATGTTAAGCTGGTCACTGACTGAAGAGCAGAAGCTGTTTACTCTGAGGGACCTGGACTGTAGCAGTTCCTTAAGGGCCCTGTCTTGCCATAAACCAGCAACTGTGAAACAGAATGACTTAGAGGAAGCCTGAAACCTGGGGCCTGACAGGGCTTGTGGTGCAGCGGAAACCCTAGCGAAAAGGCATGCTTTTGTCTGTTCCCTCTCCCAGGCTGGCATTCAGAATGGCTGCAGTGGTAGTGTTAGGAAATACATCAGAAGGATGCACACCCTTACTACAAAATGAGTGATCTTTTAGTTCAAAACATTTGAAATAATTCTTTAGCATGATGGTTCCTGCCTGGTTTCTTCTATTCTTTCACTTCATCTGAGATTCAAGGGTTTGGAATTTCTCTTTAAACTTTCCACTCTTTGCTACATTGGCTCCTGACAAAAGATGACTTTGACACAATTTCAGGTACAGTTTCGTGTGTCATGAAAATCAAATTTGGCTATCTTCTTAACTTTTTTTCTATTTTTGTAAGTAAATTACTTTAGCGATTTGGAGATTTTCCAAGGAAGAGGTCGTCTTGTTCTGTCTTAGAACAGAAGAACAACCCCCAGTTTAATGTTAAAAATAATATTCTGTCAAACCTGAAGGGTGAGCATGAACTGATGAGAAGGTAGACTCATTTCCCACTGTCTTCCAGAGAATCTTCACTTGGTTCAGTGGAAGTTTCCCATTTTACATCATGATTCTTCTTTACGGGAGGGTTATTTTCATTCTCTGTTTCTCAGCCCTTTTCCTGTAGATGGGAACGGGGGAAGGAGCCCAGACGTGGCAACACATTCTCAGGCTCCTGCAGGACCACCATGGCTTATGATGACGCCAAGAAGAAAGAAGGTATGACTGCTTCATAATTTCAGAGGGAGTTGCCAAAAAAAACCCAAAGGGTACCCTCTGCAGCCCTTGCCAGGCCATGGAGTCAGAGTGGGAAAGGAAACTAGTCTGCTGTGGAGCCCTTAAATTTAATCTGGCCTAGCTGCTGGAGGATCCCAAGCCCTTGACTTCCAGATGTTAAGTGCTGGGATTAGAACTTGAGAGAAACAGGTGGTATTTCCTTGGTCGGAAACTCTGCCACTGCAGCCTTCTTCTCCCTGCCAGGTCAGTGGAACAGACCAGGCATAGGGATATGTTTAGTCATGGTAATATTTCTAAGTCCAGTTGTCTTTAGGAAGAAATATACAAGGGTTAGAAATCGAATCTTGAGTGATTGTGTTCTAGCATTAGAGCACTGAGCCCTATCCCTGTGGTCAGAGAGTACAGATTGTTATCTTTTAGGCCCCTGTGCTTGTTTGGTTTTGTGCATCATTCTGTGCCAGTGTCTACTGTTATCTTATTTTGTGCATCGGCCACACGTCTGTCATTCCTTAACGGAGTATTTCATTTCTTCTTTTTCCCATTTCACATAAATCTTAGAATTCCTAGAGAGTGACCAAAGTGTTGATGACGTGGGGCTGGCAACTGGCAAGATACAGCGAGAGAAAAAGCGCGTTTACAAGGATGTGTTGCAAGAGGAAGATGAGGTAGCAACTCAGGTCAGGAAGCCCTCAGAGAAAAGGTTGGAGGTATAAGGATATGTGTAAAGCTAGTGATGAGATGGGTGGGTTTATTGCTCTTTTTTATATAGAAGTGCATGTAGAAGACAGCAAGAGCAGCTAATCGTGTCCTGTATTGTTCAGTTACTTTACTGCAAAAAAGGTCAATCCCAATTACAACTGATACTGATTTTTCTGGCCTCAGAAAAATGGGTAATAGGATACTGCCCTAGTCTTAGTGTAGAACCTTGCAAGTCATAAGACAGCATGAGTAACTTTATACACAGACCAAAAAAATATATTTTTAGAATTTATGGTTTATAAATAGCCAGCAAAGGATGAATATAGTGTTAACTGACACGCTGTTGTCTTCCTGATTCTGCAGACAGCCTGAAATGATAGCTCTTGAGAGGTATGAACTTGCCCTATTCACCTCTTTGGGGCCTTAACTCTGAAATCATGTAGTGACAAGTTGCTTCAAAACTTTCCTCTTTGAGCTAAAATTTCTGCTGTTAGCTCAAAGGTGACTATTTTGTGATTGTTTCTTTTTTTTTTTTTTTAATCTGGAAAAGAAGTCTAAAATGAAAACCTTCTTCTACCATGCAGATGGAATTCTGTAGAGGAGCTTCATTTTCAGGCCATAAATTGGTCAAGAGACATACAATAATTGGGTGACATGAGATACTAAGGTCAATTTTTTGGCCCATCATTTTAATTGTCGCCTCTCTGCACCTTCTTTCACTTCTTTTTATCTTCAGCATATTAATCATGAACTGCTTACCCTGCTTACCTTCATTTTCAAGGCTTGACAGCCTGTGCATGCCCAGTTATTTCTTAGCTTCATTAAGAGGTTGATGTCTGTCTTTTATCAACTCATCAGCTAATCTCCAAGTGCTGGCTTTCATTGCCCATTTCTTAACAATTTTGAATGTGCTTTTTCACATTTTGTTATGTATTACTCCTCTCACTTTGGGGAAGTTCCCTACAGACCTGTCTTTCAATTTCCTTATAGCCCTGTTGTGCTGCAGTGCCTAGAGAAAGCTTGATGCTGGTTAGGGGCTGATGTGCTTAAACTAATCCTGACTAATACCATTTTTGTGTTCTCCCACCTATCTGTACCGTGCTTTTTGTCTTACCTTAAGCCTACACTGTGGACTCTTGGGGCCAGACTATGTTTCCTTTGCTTGTTTCAGTACCTAGAATAATCCTGATTCATACCTAGGGTTCCTTGATGTTACAGTAGTACAAATAACTCTTGATACCTCATACAAATTATTACCTATCTCTGTAGTCCATGCGAATCTCATACTATTTCCCTCCTGTTTGTCAGCAAGTTTTTTCTTCTTCTTCTAGGACAGTGACCTTTTTCTGGGGCCGGAACCTCACAAAAAGAAGAGAAAGCACTCCTCCGATGAGTTCTGCTACAGAGGTGAGATAGCAGTCAGTCTGGGGAAAAAGCTAACAGGTCATGACTTTGAGGAAGGGGTGCTGTTAAACCAGTCTCACCAAGCTGTGTGGTTAGGACTTCATGGAGGGAAAGTACATCAACTTGTCTCAGGCCAAGTAATTGGAAACCTGACACTGATCGCTACCAGACAGCAAAAGATTAGGGAATGATATTTTCAGAGTTTGTCTTAAGAAGCTGCCATTGTCTGGGGGTAGAGCTCCTCCACCCCCATCTTCATTGATAAGTTGTAGTTTTCTAACTCATGCCTTCCCTTCTGGCATTTGCATTCTTTTTGCCCTACTGCATTACAAAGTGTAACTTTACTTGCAGACAGTATTACCTTCTCTGAATTTATAAAAATAGAATGCATCAGAGTGAAAAATAAATGCTTTTGGGTTCAGTTTAAATACAGAAACATTGTTCTCACAATTAATAAACTGGCTAGAAAATGACAGTTCCATTCATAAAAGCTTAGCATGTTTAAGATTTATTTTTGGCCCAATGAAAAGAGAAAGCCAAGCTGAAATTTTGTGAAAATCTTTTCAGAACTAAAAAGCTTGTATTTTAAATTCATTGCTCTCACCTTGGCTAAAAATGGCAGGAAAACCTTGCACTTGAGAAGTAATTTCAGGCTCAATAAGATACATTGTATTCTGTTGTGAAATAACAGGTTTTGACGAAGGAGTGTGACAAAACTTCAAGTACTTTCATACTTTTTCTTCCTGCCTTAAATTATTTGACCAGCTCTGGCATTAGTTACAGCTCCGGAATTGTATCAGTAAGGCTGTGCTGATCTGGCTACAAGCTTCAGCAATCTTCTGTTTAAACCAGGATGCAAATCTATTAGCTGTAATCAGGTCTTGCAGGATTCCCATTTCACTTCTTTGGGCTAGTGTAGTGCTGTCTTTAAGGGAATAATCTTCATGTACATTTATATTGATCTTTTTCAGGTGTTTCGCCTTTGGATCTACCATCAAAGAAGAAGAAAAAAGCAGTTTCTAGCGCATCCTCAGCTGATACAACCATGGATTTACTCAAGGCTATCACCTCACCTTTGGCCGCAAGCTCAAAGTCTTCAAAGAAGACCTCTGAAAAATCATCTCATTCTTCCTCTGGTCATTCCGAAAGCAAAAAAGAGCACCACAAAAAGAAGCTGAGTGGAAGCAGTGGGGAGCACTCAGTGGATGATGGCAGTTTCCACAAATCTAAAAAAATGAAACCTCTCTACGTGAACACGGAGACACTTACTCTTCGTGAACCTGATGGCTTAAAGATGAAGCTTATCCTTTCACCGAAGGAGAAAAGTAGTTCAGCAGATGATGACTCTTTCTCCTACTCTTCATCACCAGCAGCCGCAAAGAAATCTTCAAAGAAATCAGCTCGAGATGAGCAAGGGTCATTCCTTCTCAGTCATGAAATGCAGAGCTTCCTGAAATCATCTCGGAAGAAGCACAAACAACCTCAAGACCCGCATCCACCTTCTGAGAGTTTTGGTGCTGACACCTCTGTTTTTTCTGAGGGCCATGGAAGTGAGTATGAGACTTCAGGTATGGAGGCACCACCAGAATCTGGTTCCTCTTCTGGTGGCGAGTTGGAGGCTGGAGAGCTAGTGATAGATGACTCCTACCGGGAAATCAAGAAGAAGAAGAAATCCAAAAAAAGTAAGAAAAAAAAAGACAAGGAGAAACACAGAGAGAAGAAGCACTCTAAGTCTAAAAGAAGTTCTGGGCATGCTCCTGTGGCAGTACCAGAAATGACAGTGTCACCACCGCCTCCTCCCAGTACCCCTTACGTTATTCCTCCAGCTCCTGCTGTTTTTCACTCAGATGGTCAAGCTGAGAAGAGGAGGAAAAAGGAAGACAAGGAGAAGGACAAAGCTGAGAAATGGGAAAAGGAAAAAGAAAGAGAAAAGGACAAGGAAAGAGAAAAAGAAAGAGAAAAGGACAAAGAAAGAGAAAAAGAAAGAGAAAAGGACAAGGAAAGAGAAAAGGAAAAGGAAAGAGAAAGAGAAAAGGAAAGAGAAAGAGAAAGAGAAAAGGAAAGAGAAAGAGAAAGGGAAAAGGAAAGAGAAAAGGACAAGGAAAGAGAAAAGGACAAGGATAAAGAAAGAGAAAAAGAAAAGGAAAAGGAAAGAGAAAGAGAGAGAGAAAAAGTAAGGAAAAAACTGAGGGAAAATAGAAATTGGGTGATGGATAACAGTGAATTATGCACTCCATTGCAAAAGTATGTTAATTGAAACAGAAGGATAACTAATATCAGGATCGATGGCTTCACTGAAGCATGTTTGGAAAAATGTGTCAGCCACTGTGATTTCTGTGTGTAGCAAAAGGAATATTTGTATCATCCTAGTTTTGTGGCACGAGCAGTCTTTAACTGTTGGAGGTTCTTTGAAAAGGTGGTGTACTAAGCACAGCTGTCAGTTTTCTAAGGTAACCAGCCAGTTCTAGCTATTGCAAGGCAGACTTTTGGTGATCCATCATCCACTCCATTCCTGTTAAAAGGAATCGAGCTCTAACCTGAAAAGTGAAGATATTTATCCATTTACTCCTGTATTCAAATGAAATTCCAATTCTTATAGACTGCCACATTCCCAGTTTTGTCCTGTACTCATAGATACAGTTTTCCATGGTTAATATATAAAAATATAGGTAAAAGAAATGGTAGCTAACATTTGAATGAGTTTACAGGTGATCTAACTGTAGCTGTGTAAGTATGTAAGCAGGGAAAAGCAGTTTCTGTATGTTCAGATAGGCAAGAGTCCCATTGTGTCAGGAAATGGGCAGACATAGCCCACATTTTTTCAGACATTATTCTGTTCTTATTTGGTAAGTTTTCTCTGCTCATAGCTCAGCAGCTGCTTTTGCCTCTGCTGTCAATGTACGTACACTATTTTCCTGCCAATTTGAAATATTTTCTAAGGGTGCAGGGAATAGAACAAAACATTATGAGGAGGACTGAATTGTTTTGACAGATCTATGATAGGAACTGTGAATACTATGACAGATATTTTTTTTGTTATTTCATGTTTTAAAACTGAGATACATTAACTGAGTTGTGTGTTGATCCTGGTTTTAGAATAGCAGGTTGTTGTAGCTTGTGAATGAAATGCATTGATAGAGTTGTTGCCAGATAAGCCATGTACTAAGACTGATTCTGGCTGGTTCCTGTGCTTTCATAAACACTGAATTCAGCCAGAACATGTAAAACACTGCTTTTTTAGGTTCCTGATGTAAGCACCACATCTTTCTTTTAAGTCTTCAGTAAATGCCAAATTTTTAGTGAATTCAAGTAGGTCTCACTATAATTAAAAACCTTTGTTTCCTTTTCTTCTGACTAGCCAAAGAAGAAAAACATGTCTGCCTATCAAGTGTTCTGTAAGGAATATCGTACAAATATTGTGTCTGAGCACCCTGGAATAGGTGAGAGAATAATCTAACCTTCTCTTCTGTTGATTATGCACCAGCCAGATTAATCAGCAGAACATATCATCTCTGTTTCATACCAATCTCTTGATTTTGACAGAAAGCAAAGAATCTGCCAATTTTCTGTGAGTAAGAGGTGGCAGAGAGGACAGGAGTGGATTTCATTATTTGATTTCATTGCATTTTAACCAAGCTGTGAACCTGGATAAAGAAATTACTAGCTCTTCCTTTACTTAAAGAGTTATCTTCATTGTGTCACTTCCCTTTATATACATGTGTGACCTTATATTCCTGCTATCAGCTTTTTGTCATTGTAAACAGTAATGGGAATGCACATGGACAGTCATCTTTGGGATAGTGTGGAGAGTTCCAGTTGTGGAATGGGTTCCTTCCTAAAGGTGTATGCATGGGCCAGTAAATGTCCAATGTTCTCTCCATTATTTTATTATTTCATTTGTTCTTTCCTCCTGCCAGATTTTGGAGAGCTAAGCAAAAAACTGGCAGAGGTGTGGAAGCAGCTACCTGAGAAGGATAAACTGGTGAGTGTGTGCGAGGTGTTTTTGTAAAATGATTTCTGTAGACTAGGTGCTTAGGTCAGAACATGCTGGCAGCATTAACCTGAATGAAAAATGCTACCTATGTCCATAAAGGATGGAAAGATGGAAAATATGGAAACCTTGCCCTTGGCATCATAAAAGCAACTATTTTCTTTTTGTGGTATTGCTTCACCAGCTAGCTGTGTAACATCATTCTGCCTCCAGGTCCTGGCACCAGGTAACAGAATTACCTAATGTTACAAATCTCTCTTTTCATACCATGGTAACTGCAGATCTGGAAACAGAAAGCTCAGTATCTCCAACACAAGCAGAATAAAGCAGAGGCCACCACTGTGAAGAGAAAGGCATCATCTTCAGATGGTGCACCAAAAATAAAAGGTAATTGCACTTTATTTGCTCTGGTCTTCTTTCTTTGATGAGGAAGAAAGCGTTGCTTGTGGAATAAGGAACAAAGTCCTTCCCTGGTTCACTGCCCTACCTGCTTTCTCACAAGTCTTGACATATAACTCATTGTATTACTCAAAAACAGTGTTTCTGTGAGAGTGAGAATGATGTCAGCATTTTTTTTTAATTTCTATGTCTAATTTTTAGAATAGTATGGTTTTTAGCAATTTAGGGATTGAAATGTAAACCAGGAAGATGCAGCAGGGAAGCTCAAGTGGGATTAGCTTGCTGAAAGAGAAAAAAAGGATTGTTCTTGGCTTGGTAAATCTGTTCACTAAATATCCCAAACCAAATCTCCCAAATTGCATTAAACTGAGGTAGATGCCTTACACACGTAGAAGGAAAGTTTTGACTCCAAAGGCTACAGGACCGGGTGCTCAGAACTATTTAAGCATTTTATGCCTTTGGGATTTGAACTTTACTAAGTAAATAGGCTTGTAAGTAAAAGAATGAAAAAAGAGAATATGGAATTTTGTGCGTTTGCAGCTTCTCCAACTGGAGTGATTTCCCCTCATAAGAAATCCCCCACCAGCACCATGGTGATGTCTTCCTCACCAACCAAAGTCCCCGAGACAGATCCTATTGATGTAGCTGCACACTTGCAGCTGCTGGGTGAATCTCTGAGCCTCATTGGACACAGACTGCAGGAAACAGAGGTGAGTCTCTGACCACCAGTGCCACAGTGATCTCATGTAATCTGCACACAGGACTGGAGGATACTGTTATTTTATTTTACTTAAAGTTTAGCCACTGCTTTTCTGTTAGGAAGAGAAATTAGAGATGGTATGTTGTGTTTCTTCGATGCATTGCTGTTTGTTTGCAGTGAAATAAAGAGCTTTATTTCTCAGTAAACAGGCATCAAAGAAATACAGGTCCTTTGTAGCTTTAGGTCCTTAAAGGCAATTCTTAGTTCAACAGACTCTTCAGTCTTTTCCTACTGTATGTTCACCTTGGATCTGGTACTTCCTTGCTATCTTTGCCAATCTCTGATCCAGTTCCTGTTTGTTTTTCAAGCCTTCTTAGAAAACCATCAGAGATGGCATTTACCAATATGTTTTTGCATGTCCTGTTGGTTTTTGGCAGTGTCATATTGCCAGTGCTTTGGATATGGGCTGCTATTGTTTCAGCTTACCTGGTAATGTAGAAGATGTTATATTTTAATGGTTTTCTACTGTTAGATGATAGTGATTGTGTACGGATGCGTGCACGCACATACACTCACACACTTACTTTCAGAACTCAGGCCAGCCTGAAAGGAGAACACATATTTGGCTCAAATAATATAACCGAATTTTGTGGCTAATGTGATCATCTCATTCCCCTATGCTTGCTTGTTTTATCAACGAGAAAATAAATATGCTTCCATTTTGTTTCTGATATGACCAACTGAGGTAACTGCTCAGAGGAACAATCGCAGTAAAATCTCCCCCTTTACAGAAAGGCACACAGACAAATTCCCTTTCCTGAAAGTATATGAAGGTAAAATATTTGTTGCAGACTTAGCATTTGTTTAGCTTCATAATGAAACAACTGTTGTCTTTAGGACTCATGTAGTTAACAAAATAGATGGCACAAATTGGTAAAGATTAACATTGCATTACAAAATTGTAAAGTAAAATGGTAAAGATTAACATTACAAAAATTGTGGAACTGACAATTTTCTGACGCTCCCTGGTTTTTTTCCTACACCAGTATGTTACCTACTGAATTCTTAATTTTTTTGAGCCAGCAGTCTTTGCGAAGCGCATGGCATAGTTTTGTTACTGTGTAAATAATGGAAGTGAACTAGAGGAGCTCCAGAGTGAAGATACTGTATCTGCATGAGATTCAATACAATTCTGAAAGAACCACGATTTCCACTACTCATTGCTATCCGTATTTTTCTTTCCTTACTTCCAGGGAATGGTGGCTGTTTCAGGAAGTTTGTCAGTACTTCTGGATTCAATCATCTGTGCTTTGGGCCCATTAACATGTCTGACCACGCAACTACCTGAGTTGAATGCCTGCCCTAAGCACGTTTTGGTGAGTTCCTTGTGGTTATTTCCATTCTAGCACTGTTAATTTTAGTAGAGTCCAGCTATAGGTTTTTGATGTGGTCATAATTCTAGTGCAATATGAAAATTGTTGTGGTCATACACTTTTATAGAGGAATATTTTTTGACATTCTTTGAAGTGTAACTGTTGTACAGTATTGTGCAACTTTTTTTTTCCAGTGGCAACTGAACTAATATTTGTACCATTGATTGCAGTGTGCATAGATCCTGTTTTAGTGACTGAATCAATCCATCTGAATCAAATAAAAGTGCCTGTACACATACCAGTATTTTTGAAAATTCTAGTTTTCCATTAAAAAATAAAAAGCACCTTCCAGCTGCTCTGTATCACACAGTATGATTTTCTTTTAGTAGCAGAAAAAACAACTTGTGATCTCAGGATTCCTAACGTGATTGAGTAGGGCCTTTTACATGTGGCTGTAACCTTCTCCAAAGAAAGAAAAGTAGTCTATGTTTTAAGGAACTGCGTAACTATAGGTTCTTTTCCACTTTAAACTACGCTTTCTATTGAGCTCTGATTTTTATGGGATCTATGTAGAGTGATGTGGACATACATTAAGATGGCAGCAAGCATAAAAAGAATCCGGAGTCATACCTCCAACAGGAGTCATGAGTAAAGCAGAGAAGGAGAGGAGCAGAAATGAGAAATAAATATATAGTCTGCAAAAGTTAAGAGATTAAAAACAGATCTGGCAGAACAACAAAAATGGGATATGAATTGGCATGTTCTAATAGGGCAGCCCAAACATTGATTCATTCTGAGAAAGCACTATCAGAAACAACAAAGTCGACGGCTTAGGCTGTGAGCTCCCACAAACTGGCTGTCTACACAAAAGCTGAGTCAGTGGGGTGTTCCCATCCTAAGCCATGGAAAAACATCCTGTGCTTTTTTCCCTTGTGTGCTAAGTGTGTTCAGAGCAATGACACCACATGGCTAATGGTGTGTACGTTGGAAACTTGATCAGCTTATTGTTATAAGGAGCAGTCGAGCTTTAGGTGGATTAAGGCACTTACCCGTCACCTCTGAAAACTGGTATCCATTTCAATCATAAATAAAATATTCTTACTTTTACCATCAGATACATAACAACGGTGTTTTAAGACACAAATAAAATTGTCAGTGGTTGTGTTGCATGTAGACTGCAATTTATCTTTTCAGTCAGTAGGTGGCATTGTTAAATTCTAGAATCGCAACTGGTGCAGCTCCTGTCTTCAGCAATTAAAAGGTAGTATTCCTAAGGCTGCCTTCTGCCATCCAGCCACAGGCTTAAGCTTACTGCAATACTGCATTTGAAGAACATACAGATAATGTACTGCTGGGTCTTGTTTTCTGATGTGCACAAGAAGGACTCTTACTCTCAGAATTCTGTTACGTTTTGCAAGGAAAACTGGGAGGCGCTGCTTTTTCCCATCTGACACCCAGTTAGTGGGTCTATTTGAAGGTTTTTCTCTTTACTTTTACACTACAGAGTTTCATAAAGGACTTGTGATTGTAAAGTCAAGTTTGTGGGTTTTTTGTTATGTGCTACAACTTTGATCATTTAGCCCAAGTCCTCCATCACTAGTCTTTCCTGTTGCAGATGTGATATGGTCAATGTGGCTTGTTTCAAATTCAGAGGTAGAGTATGGGGGTCCTAGGGAGGAGGTCACTTGTGGAAAGTCTCAAGCATTTTCATTGTTTCCAGGTGCTTACAAGTACTGAGGCTACTTTTATATTTAGTTAACTTACATTTCCAAAAATGTGAAAAGAAGCCTAGCAGTGGTGGTGATGACTAGGCAGATTTGGTTGTCTAATCATATGATAACTTGTAAGACAAGTGTATGTGCTTAGTACCTTCGTCTGTGTAATTTTTTAAAGGATTTTGAGTCAATACCTGAAACTAAACAATACTGAATTTCTTTTCCCAGTCAAACACACTAGACAACATCGCCTACATCATGCCTGGACTTTGATGGGAAAGGATCCTGGGATGTATTCAACCTCTGCGTAACTGACTTGTGTACAGATGCACTACACCGGCACTCCCAAAGGGCTCCGTGTGTAGGGTTTTAAAGTTTTTTTATTTGTATAGTATATACATAGGATTGTAACTATTTCACTTCCACTTTAAGAAAAGTTGTGAAGTTAAGCTGAGAAAACCCTTTTGTGTTGGTGAGAGAAATTTCCTCGTCTGAAAGTATCTTGTGTGAAGAATTCAGAAAGCTTTTGAAATACTTGCCTTAAATTCAGATCCTTTAGTGGGGGAAGCAGCCACAAAATGGACTTCTCGATCTAAAGAAAAACATCACCATGAGATGGGTCATTGAAACAGCTAGCCCAGGGAGGCTCTTGACTCTCCATCCTTGATGGTATTCAAAAACTGAATGAGCAGCCTGTTCTGTTTGGATTTGCTTTAAGCAGGGGGATGGACCAGATGACCTCCTGATAGCCCTTCCAACCTAAAGTATTCTGTTACTCTTTGGGCAGGTAAAGATGATAATATATTTTGGACCAAGGAGTAGAACTGAACTCTTCACCAGCCCTATGTCTATCTGATTTTCAGTTTAAAATCTACAGCTTGAGGGGAAAGCTGGATAGCTGATCAAAGATACAGAGGTCTTTGCCTCTTGGTCACTTCTTCCAACCTCCACCCCTTCAGTCAGTAATAACTGAAAGTTGTCAGCATCAGCTGGCTGGGCTGGTAGCTGGCATTAGAAGTAAAGCAGAAGATGACAACAAATTTAATCTTTTCTTGTGGACTTGCACCTGGATCGTCATTAGCACGGAGTATCCACCAACTGCATTGGCTTGAAAGAGTGAAGCTCCTGCTGATTTTTCCAGGACGTGGTCAGCCTGCTTTGATGGAGAGAAGCATGGAAGCAGATGGGAAAAACTTGGGTTGCTTCTGCCCGCCTTGCACCTGTTTCGTCAACAGACAACTTTGGTTTCTGGGATTGCTGATCTCCCATCCCTTTCACCAGCGGTATTGAAAGAGCCGTGGTGCTGCTGCAAGGCAGGCACTGATGACCAGTTCAGAGCAGTTGCAGCTGAGTAAGGCACGTGTGGGTTGACTGTTCCAATTCCTCTACCTTCCAGCCACATACTTGGCATTTAGTTTTTTGCTCCTCTAGAAGAGAAGCTGCAGGAGAGCACTTGATTCTCTTACAGGCTTTTGTGTATCTGTATGTATGTGTATGTGGTGTTCATGTCACATGTATTTAAAGTTTACTAGTGTCTGTAACATTTTAATTTATCCTGTATATTTCTGTGTGTGTGTGTATGTATATACATAATTTAATAGCAGAAATCCCTCCCTCCACCAACAGTGTGTGGAAAATAAGAATCGTGTTCACCTCGCCCCACTTCCTGCAGGAATTGGCTGCATGTGTATTAGTAAGCGTTGGCACAGTATGGGGCAACATGGGGAAGATTTCAAGTGTTTGTAGAAACAGGCTATCTTGTGAAGGTAGGTAGAACAACTGAAATAAAATTTGACTCTAGTCTTTCCAGCCTTTTAACATAAACGTTTTAAAACTACAGAAGAGCACTTTTTTTACTTCCAATCTGAAGTCTAGCTTCTGTTTTTCAGGGCAGCTGAAAGTGAGCTGTCCCTCATTGTGCCTGGGCCCCAGATCATATTTAAATTAAATCCTCAGGTGTGCAGGAGGGTTTTCCTCCCCATTCCTCTTTACCGCTTACTCCCCAGCTGTGCCCATACAAGGCAGCCTGTCTTTCACGGAGCTTTAGTCAGTGGAGGAGGCAGATTTTTCAGAGCCAAGCCTCAGACCAGAGCATACATGTTTTAACAATATATGAGTAATTCTGATGAACCTGGAACTGGGAAGGGCCCAGGAGGGAGGCAGTCTGGTCCCGCTTTGGATCCTGGCCCGCACTAAAGCATCTGCTGTTTGGAGCGGCGCAAACTAGGTCTTTCTCAGCCCTTTACAATGGAGAGCATCATGGTGAAGGGGTAGATCTGCTCTCTGAGGAACAGAAGGGGTTCAGCTTTGGCTTTGTCATCTGTACAATGGAAAATTCTCTGAAGAGTTTGAAAAACACACAACTCTGGTGTATTGTATTTTTATTTAAAATTTGTACACTTTGTATAATCTGTATCTTGTGCTATTTGGTACTAGAGGGAAAACTTTGGCAAGACTTAGCCGTTTTTATATTTTTGTTATTTCCTTGTTGTTTGATCCAGATTATGTTACAATTATACAAAGAAACTTTTTTGTACTGTACTTACAATATAATTTTTTTAAAAAACATTCGGAGCATTGTCATTCATTTCTGGCACACGCTGTGTTTTCTGTGGTCACCACCAGCGTTTTATAGTCTTCCTCAGCAAAACACTGATCCCATTCTGAAGTGGTTACACTCCATTTGTAGACAAGCTATGCTATTTCCAGCAGCACAGTCCCCTCAAAATACGGTTCAGAGGACACAGACGATTTGGGGACCTTTCCAAAGGGAAACGAACCATTGAGCACTGCGAGGCTCGAGTCCGCGGTGTTGGGAACCGGACACAAGACTGGAGCCGAGCGTGTGAGGCGGGACGCCAGGCGTGGGTGGCGGCGTGGGATGTGGATGTGGGCAAGTTACCGACACGTCCCCGTTTCCCGGGGCTGAGCTTCGGTCGGTTGCAGCGGGGCTGGGGCGGGGCCGGAAAGATGCTCCGAAACACGGTGCCTTCCCGACCCGTCCGCTGCCCC